GAATTCCGGTGGATTCCGGAATGTACACCGGAATGTCCCCCGGAATGGTCTTCCCCGGAATGGGCAGGAATGGTGTTCCCCGGAGTGGGCAGGAATGGGATTCCAGTCCAATCTGTTTATTTTATTTATTTATTACTGTATTATAGTTTATTTATTTTCAATGGATCACAAACAATGTTTGTTTGGTGAACATGCTCACCAAACATGGCCACTCTCTTCTTCCACCACCACCACCATGCTCGTCACCGCCGCCAACGCCACGCCATCACCGTCACCCATAGCCACCACCGCCAACATCGCTCCTCGATCACCCATGGCCACCACGACCACCAACATCAACCACAACACCCTTCAACAACAACGCGGCGACGCCACGTCACGAAACAACGAGCGCCGTAACCCACGAAAACACCCAACGCCCACGAAAACAACGCCCCCGGACACAAAACGACACCCGACGGGCACAAAACGACGCCCACCGCCCATGTACACCGCCAGCGCCCACGAAAACCATACCCCGCCCACGAAAACATCCCACCACCCACCGAAAAACACGAGCGCCCACCGAAAAACACGCGCCGCCCACCGAAAAACACGCGCCGCCCACTGAAAAACACGCGCCGCCCACCGAAAAACACGCACCGCCCACACGACATACGACGGCACCACGCCGCCTACCAAAACCACCACGTCCACACCAACGCCACCCACGACGACGCCCCCAACGGCAACCAGCGCCCACGACGACGGCGACGACAACGTCACGAATAACGCAACAACGCGGACACACGACGACGCGAACACGAGGAGGCGACAACGAAATGCGACACAACGATGGGATGCCAACGCGGGACGACGATGGCCGAGGTCCCAGCCACACTCCCTCTCCCCTCCACCATTCCCTCCCTCCCTGCCTCCTTCCCCCTTTCCTTGTCCCTCCCCCTTGCTCCACCATTCCTTCCCCCCTTTCCTCCCTCCCCCCTTTCCTCCCTCCCCCTTCCTTGTCCCTCCCCCTTCCTTCCTTCCCTCTTTCTTGTCCTTCCCCCCTTCCTCCCTCCCGTCCCTTGTTCTTCCCCCTTCCTTGTCCCTCCCAATAATAGAAATACACCCCCACCTTGTCCCTCCCCTACCCCCTCCCTTTAAGATAAACTGTGTAATGTGTGTAGTAATACATTTCAAATACATCCCCACCTTGTCCCTCCTCTACCCCCTCCCTTTAAGATAAACTGTGTAGTGTGTGTAGTAATACATTTCAAATAAATTACAACTCAATCTATGACTTCTACATGTGAATTTTATAAGGAAATATGAGTGCCAAGTCATCAGGATAAGCTTGGAGTTGAAAAAAACTTACTCTGCTTGATTCCAGTCCTATTCCAGTGGAATTCCAGTGGAATGCTGTGGATTCCACTGGAATTCCTCTGGATTCCTCTGGATTCCTCTGGAATTCCTCTGGAATTCCACTGGAATGATCCCATTCCTGCAGGATTCCTGCAGGAATAGGTGGGGCACTGTAAAGTACTGAACCCAGGCCACGGTCGAAATATCAGCCGACCTTGCATAGCCTAGCTGCTAATCAGAAGTGATGGCCCTCGGCCGATCACCTACCCAGCATTGTTCAAACTGTCAGCCGACCTTGCATGGCTTAGCTGCCCCCTTGGCCGATCACACCTACCCAGCAATGTTCAGAACTGTCAGCCAATCTTGCATGGCTTAGCTGCCCCCTCGGCCGATCACCTACCCAGCAATGTTTAAAACTGTCAGCCGGCCTTGCATAGCTTAGCTATCTTTCATCAGCCAAAAAACTGTCAGCCGACCTTGCATTGGTTAGCTATCAGCCGATACACAAATACAGGGACTTGACTTCCCAGCACAGCTTCCTCCTACTGATCGGTTTATGATAAATCTATGTAGCTGGCCAACCCTTCTTCACCTTGATACTGGGATCACATCAGCCAATTCATCAACACAGGGTTATTGGCCCTCATCGGCCCATCAGCAGGCCCCATCAACTATGGCCTGTTTGTATTGTCGGGGCTCTCAGTGTAGCTGGGTGATTCCTACTAACTGCCCTGGTAACGCGAGGAGTGGTCATGTGTAGGCGTAAAGATGCCAGGACATGGTCAAGTGACGTATGAAACAGCTGCTGGCGGAATTTGCGGAAGTTCACATCATCCGCATAATCCTTGGAAGCTTTAAATTTGGTTGTTAGTGATCAGACGGGAACGTATCATGTAGACAACTCACTTTTCGGGATGGAGAGGAAAGCTAGAAGGGAAACAGCGCTGCGGTGAGCGCATTGCACAGAGTTATGAACATTTCCAATCGATGTGTATAACAGATAGAATTCGTTTTGGCCCGTTGCAACTGACACCGTTGTTTTGTCGCTACCAAGGATAGCTGGTACAAACATGGCTCCATGAGTGCGTATCTCCTTTGCAATCTCATCCTTGAAAAATGGTCAATTTACAGCTCGGATACACTGAAATTGGTTCAAGAAAACTTACCGCTTGTTTCCATGCCCAGTTCCCTGACATGAGATCTCGAAACCGTTGTTTACCCCGCCGAAAGACACATTTCGGAGCATAATCAAATTGCGCCTTGAAATCCGGATTACCAATCTGATTCTCCAGCACGGCAAGTGGATCGCGGAACCAGACCTCAAACTTCTGCATCATCCAAGGTGGTACTGTAGCCCCAGAAGATGTATCGGGTAGTTGGCCGTTGTAGGTGACCGAAAAACTGCTCCAGGCGACGTCTCCTTGCTCGATTGCATCAATCATAGCGTAAAGCTCCTTGTGGTCATTGACAGGAGGTTCGTCATTCAGATACAAAGCTCAAAGGAGTAGCAATAATCGATCAATCTTGCCTGCGGACATCTCCTCTTCCACAAAGAGAAATTCTCCAACTTCAAATTGGGCACGACTTTGGAATGGGAAGTAGTCGTTGGCTTCGCGTGGAGTAGCGGGGGGAGGTGCAGAGCCTGGAGGGAGGTCATAGCCATCAATATCACATGGGGTTCCTATTTCATTATTTAAGCAATAAACTTGACTGTCTATTGATTTATCTACTGTCAAGAATCAGGTGCGTTGTCACATCGAGCCCCTTTTTGCAGAACATAGCTGGGGGTGGAGTGCCCTGTGGAGATTGAAGAGGGGAGCCAGTTGGGGTGCGTCGGGGAGATCGTCGAGATGAATGGAGTGGATCTGGGGATGGTGGAGGAGATGGTGGAGGAGATGGTGGAGAAGGTGCGTCAGGTATTTGGAGTGCCGCAGGAATTGCGTGAACAGACTCGTAGTGACGAGTCACTCCAGCCGTCGTTCGCAACATCCTTGAGCATCCATTGTGTGGGCACGGGTAAGCAGCTGGTCGTTGTGCTTTATGTCCTCGTCGATGCATTTTAGTGAAGGGGGAGAGAGTAGAGGTGAAAGGAATAGATTCTTGGCGTTGCTGCATTGGCCAGGAACATTGCGCGTGATTGATGAAAAACTTTGAATTTTTTTGCAAATGGCAACCGTCGCCCCTCTTTGACTTCAAACCATGCCCCCAAAATCCGCACTACCTCTTCCTCGCACTCTTCAGGTTACCCTCTGAGTGAACCGTGACCCCCATCCTGGAGTAACTGAAAAGGATAAGAAGCCCTGTCGCACCAGTGAGCAGGTGGCTGCTGAGAAGGAGCAAAAACTTCAGGAGAAGAACAGTAAGGCCCAGAAGAAGGAAGACGCGATCAAGAATGCCGCTCACCTTGAAGATGCCATGGATAAGGACAACAAGCTCAGGCTTCTCCAAGCTAACCATCCACCCCCCAACACACAAAAAAAGACTGCCCGGTCACAGAGACCGACTCAAGCAGTGCCAGATGGTACGTCGCCCAGTCTGATCCCGAGTTGATTTGACACAGCTGCCATAGACAACCCCCCAGACGACGACATATATGTTCCTGAAAGCGAGGACCCAGAGGGTGGGAGTGAGGATGAAGTCCTCGATGAGTCGGATGATGACAACGCACCAAGACCCACTGGCAAGAAGAAATCAAAGGGTGAATTGAGGAAGAGAATCGAGGCCGCTCGTACGCCAGCAACGCCTTCCATGGATGGTAATAAGCGGAAGGCTGCTGAAGGTCCTGGAGTGTAAGTCAAACGTTAACGATCGTTGTCGACTATTGCTCACTTACTTACCTGCAGAGCCATTTCCGAAACGGCTCAAAAAAAGCCGAAAAAGGTGAACAAGGGCCTCCGGAATGATTGGAATACAAAGGCGACATCCAACGACAATGAAGATCGTCTCCTCACAGAGGTACAACCTTCTCATCGCTGTTCTGCTTCAGCGAACTCCGGAATGTCGATTTCCAGCCTACACGGCGACGTTCCACCAAGTTCTGGTGGGGAGGGATCAGATGTGGACCAGATGGGAGGTGTAAGTGATGATGCTGGTGAGTTGGCAGAACACCGTGGACTCGCAGAAAAGTTGAAGGCGACACTGCGACACGGAACAAAGAACACACAGCTGAGCGCTTGAGCTGTGTAACTTTTGCAAACTACAACACACAAATGTTCGCACAGTACAAATCCTTGGCAACCATTGTTCCCACCACCTCGGTTCCCAGCTTTGTCCCTCCTTCACCTTCCCGCCATCAGTTCGATAAAAAGAAGGAAGACATTCGCCTTAGCGACCTCCCACAACACCTGCAACGTAATTTCGACGGGGTTTTCAGTCCTCGCCTCCGCGAGTATCTCGGTTTCTCCCAGACGCCTTGGGATGTACCCACCAAGACGAGCATCAATGACCTATGGAAGCAAGCATTTCCATCAGTTCCTCTTCTGGAGGATGCCCACCTGTACCACATCGTCAGCAAGCTGGTATGTTTCGTCTGATTATCTTGATGTTCAGCTGATACCGTGTTTCTAGATTGATGACCGTGTTTCTTTGTGGCGCACCAAGTTTGCGAAGGGAGCCCTCGATTACCTCTCCAAGTCCATTTTCCCTCAGTTACCCGACAACACGAAAGAGCAGCGGGCGCTGTGGTGTGCATGGGCCATATCCGGTTCCGATCGACAACAACCTTTCTATTATCTCGTCTACGAGGATGCAGAGGAGGGGAGCAGCTCTAGTCCAGTTACCAGGGTGCGTTGGGGTTAATTTCTTGAGTGTCACACTTTGATCTAATCATTCGTCGCAGGGTATATTTCAGTCGAGCATCATTTCGGCTGTTCTTGGTCTGCATGTTTCGGGTATCTCGCAAATTGCTCCAGCCCTTCGCTCTGAGAATAAACCCATCAGTGCTCTGGTTCTTACTATATAAGCTGTTAGTCTTTCTTCAATTGTGTTTGATAAGTTCTGATGGTTCTTTAGGTTAAACACGCAATTGGGCTCTACATCACTGGAGAATTAGTTAAACAACCTCGACCTCTGGGCGATTTCTCAAAGGACAACTGGGGGGATGTGGTGCAGCGCATCGAGGGCAAAGAGCAGAAGGTCAAGACAACATCAAGCCTCGTTAAGGTCGTTCTCAAGCTAAAGGACAAGCAATGGGAGAAGATTGTGGAAGCGGTGGCTCAGATATCAAAGACGAAGAAAGAGACTGTTGCGGCAATGGTTCCCCAGGCCACAACCTCTTCCAGCGAGTCGGATTTCGAGTTAGCGGATGATGATGAGGACATACTGGAGGGTTAGCATCATTCTAGTAGTGATTACCCCCATTGTTTTTATCAAATATCAAAAATCTATTCGTGTTTGCCAGCTTTTAAGCCCCTTTCAAGTCACCTTTGAAAAGCTGCACCTCTTTCATTGTCCCCTTTTGAACCACTTGCAGCCCCTTTTGTCCCTTTTGAAAGCGGAAATCCCTTTTGAAACAATATGGCCTGGGCTTCCAAAAGCGGAAACACTTTCATGCTTTCACGCTTTCAAAAGCGGTGAAAGCGGCTAAAGCCGGACTTGTAATTTTACTGATGTGGTCATTATTTCGCTGCTCACTTATGACCACATGACGCGAACTTGGATGGCTGCAACCATGCCGATTTTGACTTTGAGAAGGCTACAGATTTACAACATGAAACTGTAGATGAATATCGGCAGAAACTTCATCGATTAGTCAATTCACAAGATCAACCTGCCTATGAACGAAACAGGAAGGCAACTGGCCTCTCAAAGCCATCCATTGTCGATGGCCTTTTATATAGCATTCCAATGCCGCTCTGCTATTCTGTTGATCTCATGCACCTGGCTATTAACATTGGTGAACTTCAGATTCCTCTTTGGCAGGGGACTTTGAAATGCGAACAAAGTGATGACAAACTTACTTGGGATTGGGTTACATCAGTAATTGAGCATTTCAGTTTCCAGAGGTTTCTCAACCCAGGCAACCTCTGAAAACTGCAGAAAACCCGAAAACTTGGAGACTGAGAAACCTATGTCCCTTTTTCAGGAAACCTCATGGGGTGATAAGGTGCAAAAACCTCGGAAACCTGTCACAGTATATATATAATATGAATATACACAATATATCATAGACAAACATTTTGCATACGTATGTAATAAGATATGGGTACCGGGTGCTTATATACCCTGAAGCTGCGCACAGACCATGTGGTCATGTTTGTGCTCAAATCCAGTTAGACAACAAACAATTTCAACAACAGCAAACAACGCCGAAAACAATCCAAGTCTCCGACAACAACCACTTCCACCATCAACATTAATATTCAACGTCCACCCACCTTCCCTCGAAGCATCGCCTGATTACGACATCGCCCACCCACGACATCGACACTCTAAGCCCCCTGCAAGCCGCTGCTTGCAGGGTGGCAATGGTGTCTGTTCTTGGCCACGACAACCAGCAGTTGGATGCCCAATGAACGAATGGTGGAGGCAGATGCGAGGCAACAATGATGGTGACAACGTACTATGTTGTCATCGTCTAGGCTCTTCCTATGTGCCAATCCAGGTAAGCCTACATAAGTACTCCCCCCCATACTCCTGTCTGACTCTGAATCCAGGTGCCACATCGCTGTCAGCGACATGGCAACCAAAAGGTGAATGACCAATGTCGTCGTCGTTCGTCGTCATTGGACTGACAACACACAACCCGACAAACGACAGCAGCAGATCACGACCTCCTCATCAATCTGGTTGCAGTCCTTGTATTCTTCGGTGTTGGTTGGGATTGGTTGCCCTTCTTTGCGGAACACTAGGAACTACTACACTGGAATCTACATAGTTGTAAACAAGCCATTATTAATGGAAAAATAATTCTACACTGTAGATAGGTTTTAGGATTCTCAGGTTTCCTGGTTTCTGGTTTCCTAGTTTCCAGAAACCTAGAAACCAAAGGAAACCACTGAAAACCTGGAATCTATTTTTCCATCTTACTGATGTACCCTCACTGGAGATGTCTGGCAGGCTCACAGAAAACTTGTGGCAGAATCAATGATTTATTTTCCTTCAAGCTTTCATCGCCCTCCTCGAAACCCAGCTGAAAAAATTAACAGTGGATACAAAGCGACAGAGTATTTCCATTACCTCTTTGGACTCAGTCCTGGCTTGTTCCGTGTCCATCTTCCCAAAAAATACTGGCAACACTATTGCAAGCTTGTTTGTGGTATTCGAACATTGACTCAGCAACACATTACTGGACCTCAGGTATGCGAGGCACAGTCAGATATTGTTCAATTCGTACAGGAGTACGAACATCTCTATTATCAGTGTCGCATGGATCGCCTGCATTTCTGTCGACCATGGCTTCACACAATTCTTCACATTGGTCCTGAAGTCATACACATTGGACCAGGTTCATACATCAGCCAGTATACGATGGAACGTGTGATTGTTTAATGTTGACTGTTCCAATGTAGGTGTTTGAAATTATAACACTACTTATGTCGAATATTTTACTCACCTTTGGGCTGAAATATGAGAGGGGCAGGGACGGCTTTCCCTGGATTTCTGAAATGAGACATGAAATCAGACCCTGGAGCTATTTTGAGCCTTGTTTGCCATCGCCCTCCAGGGCGGTGTCGGCTATTGGCCTTGTTTGGGTCCTTGTCACAATCATTACAATAATAGATCTGATCGTTTACACCTACTATAGATTAAAGGTTGACGACTCCCAGCCAAACATTGAGCATTGCAAACCTGCTTCCACTCTGCTGGCAAAGCCCCGGCCTCCACCGCTTCCAAACTTCCAAGGCCCTGCCGAATTGACAGATGGCGCAAAGGCAGCCAAGAAGACAGTGAAAGGCGCAGTGCTGGCTGATGGAGAAGAAGAAGCGAGAGATACAAGGTGCATAGCGTGCCTCACCCGATACACTGATTACCTCCTCTTTATTCCTTAAATGGGTCCACCCCATCACTTGTATCTCCAACAATGAGCTTAGTGAGAAGCGACCTCTTTGGAACACATTGTGTTGACTCCTCAAACAGGTCCAATCGAACACTTGTATCTCCAACAAGGTAATGGCTAACAAGACAATGTCAGTCGACCACAGCAAGGCCATTGAGACTGCACTTGGCTCTGTGGATAGCTTCCTTTTCTCCAGCGAGCTTGGTTGCCTGTCTGATAACAAGGTGAGCAGCTGATCTTCAATAAATGTCATTCTATTGCAAATGAGCTCGCTTTTACAGCAAGCACACAATGGCCAGTCGAAGAAGAGCATGTGCAAGAGGCATATTGTCAGGATTATCATGGAGATGCGAGTAGCGTCAGCACCGGCTCTTTGGGCTGTACAGCTGCTCTGGAGGTTGGTGCGCCACAACTAAGGTTTGTTCCAGATAATGATGGATTTTGTTTTGTAGGTATCAAATCAACTCAATCCAGGGGGAGGCAGGATCAAGATGCAGCTCATGAGTCTTGCAATGGCGGAGGCGACGAGGTTGTTTGGCAAAGTGTGGAGGTGTGGCGTCGGGTAACAGCCAGGGCTTTCTTCCTTTCTCGCATCACTGACAATGTGTGTGTAGAGTTCTCGTCAGTAGGCACGCATCCACTGCTGGCAGAGTGCTGGCCTCCACCGCTTCCAAGGCCGAAATCAACAGCAGCAACTAAGAAAACAGTGAGGAAAGTTACTCCTCTTACATCTACAAGGGTGTGTGTTTCAACCAATACATATAATTCCTCTTCTTCGGCCCTTGGACAGGTCCACCCTGACACTGGTATCTCCAAAAAGGCAATGGCTATCCTTAAAAGCTTCGTGAACAATATCTTCAAACACATTGCTACTGAACCTTCCAGTACATGCCATGTAGGTCTTCGTCTCTCGCATTCTGTATTTATGTTAATTACCTCCATCAATTTTGTATTACAGGATCAAATCAAGTCTTGAGCAGCATAATGAGAGCATCAACTCTGTTCTGGTCTCCTTGCTTCTGGCGCCGTAACGTGAACCAACCAAGTTTTTTATTGTCCAATATAATCATTAACCAGGTGTCCATAAAACTTATTTAGTGTCCATAGATTTGACTAGGATGTCCGTAAATTCATGATAAAGCTATGGGCATGGAGGAAATTGGGGTGTTTGGGGCAAGGGAATGTGTCCGTCATAATTACTGAATGACCGGAATTCATGCATCAAATTCAGAGTGTGAGTCCTCCCTTTCTTCGGAGTTGTCTCGTTCCTCAGGCGTGCCGCGTTTGCTAACGCGCCGCTTGTTGTGTGCGACTCTGATAGCCTTGAGGAGCGCCTTCACCGATTTGTCGGCCACTGGGTAAGTCTCACAGAAGCGAGCATTGTCACAGCCCAAGCTGATGAGATTAATGTGTTTTCAGCTTTTGGATGTGCATGCGAGCCGATGAAGAAATCACACACCATTCATATTTGTTAGCAATCATTTTTCTCTGGGAATACAAGGAGCTGGTAAACCTTTTCATCCCACCCTGATACCACTCCTTTGGCCAATCTTTCAGAGCCATTACCGATGCATCACCAAGCTCCCACTGCTGAACTATGTCATGCCAATTCTTCACATCAGGGATCACACCAGGAATGGGAAAATTCAGGCTGTCCAAGGGGCTTTGAGTTTGGGCATCTCCTGCCAGGCTATCGACATCAGAGTGGCTGGGTATGCTCGAGGTACAGCGGTTTGGTGCATGTGCAGAGTACGGATTGGAAGAGTGGCAAGCACTGTGACCACGGCGCAGCAAAGATCGCTCCTGAGGCATTGGCTCTCCCACACTCATTGACGGAGAGGATTCCAGATTAGGCTCAGGGCTGGGAGATGCAGAAAGGCGAGTTTCGGACAAGGCAGCTGTGACCTGACCGACAATCTCAGAAACAGCGTTTCCGAGAGAACGATCCATTGAGATTTTCCACTGCCAGATTTCCTCAGTAGAGGGTGGCGCCTGGTTGATGTGTTCGCCCATGAAGCTTTTATCGGCCTCTGCTGCGATTGGGCACAACGTGTTTCTGTGACCTGTCTCATAGCTTTGGAGTGAATCTACAAGGTATTTTATCATTGTGTCGACCTTTCGAAATTCGATGTAAATCAGTGACAAACACACTAAGTATGATATCACAGAAATCTACCTGTTCACCTTTGGCCCACCCACCCCACCATCGAATAATACTCAAAGACCAGCAACGGCCAATTGGTGCATACATGAACCGATATTGAGCGCCACCTCTTCGGAAGCAATGCATAGTGTAGGTCTTCGTCAGGCCAGCACCAGCCACAAACTGGCTGAGGTGCTTCTGGAACATGTCATATGACATAGCATGCTTCAGATCAATGGTGCCATTATGCGAGATATGGGGGAAGATAAAGTCACTAGACTCGAGACTATGGCCGAGCCGGCCCTCCAAATATTTCAACCAGCATTGGAGGTGAGTAAACATGTCCATTGCACCGATATCTTGCTGATAGATCTTATAAATGCCACCTAGTCAACAAAAAATCCCTAAAGTTAGCTTTGGACAACATCGGAACAATGATTTACACACTTGTGTGTGGACCATCATAGCCTGCTTGCTCCTGCCAATTCTTACGCTCTTCAAGCCGGACCTCAAAATAAGGGAAGTGGTATGGTGCAGGTCCCTTCAAGCCCATTGTAAGATCGCCATACTGTAGAGAGAGGCCTTCGAAAACCCTAAAAGGTGATATCAAGCTAAATTCCCAAATTGGACATGTGTAAACTCTCATACCTTAGCATCAACACAAACAGCATTGGATACAATGCCTGCATGAGGCCATGCAGGGCAACGGACTCAGGATTGGATGGCACATTATCAAATAGTTCATTGGGGCATCTTCCCTCTGACCAGTCCATAATTTTTTGCAGGTCCTCAAGTGACATGGCCTTGGCATGCTTCCGTGTTGCGGCTGCCCCCTTTGTAGCTGCCCTAGTTTTCACCGCTTTCATCAAATTGTGGATAGCTGGAGCTCGAGCTGGACATCCAGAGACCTTCCCAGTGGTTTCATCCAGGGAATAGGCACCAGCATAGGTCTGTCCCTCCCTGCAGGTTTGTTTCAGTAATGGAAAAGTGGGAGATTGATGGTCTTGAACACTCACATTTTATCCCAGTAGTCTGCAAATGCTCCTTGGATTCCTTCTGTGGAGCTTTTCGACAGTTCCTCCATGAATACTTTTTGAACAAGGAAGAATTCAAGTGCAACAGCAGAGTAACGGTTTGGTGGCTTGTCGAAAGCTTTCGCAAGCTCAATGGTAGGGATTCCCTTGTCACAAATCTCAATGCCTTTGAACTCCCTCTCTGTGACGATATCAGCCAGAAACTTTTGGCCCCGGGCCACTAGTGGTATACACTCTTATGATAAAAACCAGACACATGCCTGGAAGGCGATGTGTATAATGCCTAGAGGTTCAATGAGACAACTCATTATTTTGTCTAGTATTTTCATTCATTAAGTTCCCTGTGTATTTCATTTGGTTTTTTCATTAAATGGCCTAAGTGATCTCATTAATATTGTATTGCGATTTCCTGCAATATTTCATTCATTATCTCTGGATATCTCATTTTGTTTTTCATATGAAAGCCTGGCGCTTTCAATATATATTTCATTCTTAGCTCCAGGACATTTCATTGGAGTTTTCATATATATATCTTGCGCTTTCATTGGATATTTCATTGTTAGCCCCAGGATATTTCATTGTGCTTTTCATCTGAATGCCTGGCACTTTCAATGGATATTTCATTCTTGTTCCTAGGATATTTCATTGCACTTTTCATAGATATACCTGGTGCTTTCATTGGATATTTCATTGCTAAACCCAGGATATCTCATTGTGCTTCTCATTTGGATGCCTGGCACTTTCAATGGATATTTCATTCTTATTCCTAGGAGATTTCATTGCACTTTTCATATGTGTACCTGGCGCTTTCAATGAATATTTCATTTTTAGTGGCAGCTGACCTTTCAGGGTCCAGGGTGCATTTCCAAATGTAAAATAGCAATAAAATCAGGAAAAATTAGGGCTCATTGCTGATCATCATGCTGGGTAACATTGTCAGGGTCCAGAGTCCAGTTCCAAATATGGTAATATATCCAAAAATAGCCAGAAAAATAGCGGAAAAATTGAATATATATAAAAATGGTGTACAGAACATCAGGCACTGCCTTCATGGTCTGAAAGCACCAGGTATATCTATGAAAAGTGCAATGAAATATCCTAGGAACAAGAATGAAATATCCATTGAAAGTGCCAGGCATTCAGATGAAAAGCACAATGAAATATCCTGGGGCTAACAATGAAATATCCAATGAAAGCGCCAGGTATCCATATGAAACTTGCAATGAAATATCCTGGGGTTGAGAATGAAATATATATTGAAAGAGCCAGGTGTCCATATGAAAATCGCAATGAAATATCCTGGGGTTGAGAATGAAATATATATTGAAAGCACCAGATATCCATATGAAAATCGCAATGAAATATCCTAGAACAATGAGATATGTGATCTCATTGAACCTCTAGGCATTATACACATCGCCCTCCAGGCATATGTCTGGTTTTTATCATAAAAGTGTATACCACCCATCCTGGTAATGCATGCCCGGTACATGGAAGATCGACTGTGTCTGGTTCAGCCAAATGCTGACAGTGACTGGATTAGCTTCCCTCATGAATAGATGAGATATAAATGTTATACCTTGCATCAACACCAATCATGAGGGTCCGAGCTCCATGCCGATTTGCCTCAAACCCTTCTAAAACTGTGAGCTCAGTGAAAGGGCATGATTGCTTTGCTTTCAGCAGAATCTGATAAAGACAATCAGTTTTGGGGGGACCACAAAAGATTTGAGTGTTGTACATTCCAGATGCCAGGAATACCCATAATTTCTAAGAGGCCTAGAGAAGGGAGGACAGAGGAAAATGTCGAAGATGTAACCTCCTAATTACGGACTCTCCTTTCCAAAAGTTTTCGACTTGGCAACATTGTATAGTTGAGAATGAAGCGGGTCCGTGAATGAGCAGCAGAGATGGTGTTGTGGCATGGTGCAGATGGTGAACAACTGCAGCCCCGGTTATTTCTGCCTGGCCTAAGCAGCAGCTGCTTGCTCGCTGGCGCTCGGATATACCAAAGCGACATAGACGAGGCGAGCAGCATGCAGCATGCACACACTGGGCAGAAAAAGATAGACAAAGAGAAAACGGGTGGCGAATGAATGCTCAATGATGAGTCACATGCTTTTGTGCCTCACGTGTCAACTACACATTGTAAACTTTGCGTCGGACTCACACTCGACTACATACAGATAAAAATGTATGGTAGAATAAACAACATGTGTGGGCAAGGACAACTATATAAACAAATCAGTCTACTATGGTGCTATCAAGTCATCAAGCATTAGGAAGAACACAGTTTTCTATGTAGTCCTATGGTGTAAAGTCCAAATATGAATGCATAAGTGCACCTAAGGACTTATTTCTGAGAGATTTACCAGTAAATCCAGTGGATTTACTGGATTTACTGAGTGATGGCTTGGCTGCTCCCAGCCGATTTACATTTGCTCGCTTCCCTGGCACTCCCCATCTTTTGGATCCCTTGCTCAGTCTCCAAGTGATATCGGGTACGTGTTGATACTGGTCACAATCCTGCGTGTTTTTCGTGCATCTTCGTTGAGTGATATGTCTTTCAGTGTTGCGTTGATACCTTTCTTTTCAATATCCTCCAGGAGAATGTTAATCCTTTCTACAGAGGCAAGTTTTATTGAATTCAGGTTATCTTAGCAACAGCTCATTACAGTGTAAAAGTCTTCTACTTAATCATTGTCTGTTCGGTTCGATTCATTCTGCACTGGAGTTGTCGGAGCGACAGCCGATCTCGCCAAGTATAACTGCTGTAATTAAGCTGGAGGAGATTAGAGGAGATTGCCACCATCGTTCCAGGGCTATCTCAGGGCACAGGGGCATCTATGACAATCTCGCGAGACCCTCGTCTATGGCCCCCACACGAGCTCCTTTGAGCACAGGTAACCACTGAACCGATCATTAACCAAGCTGACCAAACCCTCCCGCTACCCCCCCCCAATCAACCAGTTGCACTTGGGATGCGTATACTGGAGACAGGCAGATCAGATATGCAACAAGCCCATTTACCAAAGTTCAGTGTCCCTTTCACGATTGCCAGGCTGCTCGCCTGCAGCTTCTGGAGCAGTTTGCTGTGCTTACCTGGTGTGAAAATGTAACCTGGGTGGATAAAACATTAGCAAGATGCCAAACTAGTTCAGTCCCATGCAATGCTCACTTCTATCACTAGCATGATGCTCATTATCCTTTTGAACAAGCTGGCCCCTTCCTGTGCCACCTGCTTTGGAGCTGGGTCCTGCTGTTTGGTCATCTTGGGCTCCTCGCTGGATGCTCCAGTCAAATACATAGTCATACTGGTACTCCTCATGCACAAAGAGTTCACAGAAGAGTTTGTGAAGATAGGAGTAGTCAGGTTGGTCGTCGAAGCGAAGAGCACAAGTGTAGTCTAAGAAAATCTCAAACTCGTTTGGGAATCCATGGCAGAGAAGGTTGGTGGGGGTATTTCTGCTTCTTGTGGCAACTTTTAGACCCTGTCAAGGAAGAACTGCACAGAGGAAGTACATTAGGACATAAGCAAAAGATTTGAAGTTATCACGACGTACTTGCTCAACACCCAAATGGGTGTTGACCGATGGATGTGCACCGTGCAGTACCCGTCAAGTCCTTGTTCTCTCTGTACAGAATGTGGAGGTGGGTCTTGGGGTCACAGAACTTCTTGGCAAGACCAAAAGCGATGGCATTGAATTCATTACTGCACTTTCCAATGCCCATCAGAAAGTTATCTGGCTTGATATCAGAATTGCGATGTATGAAGTTGCATGAGTGGATATTCCATCCCAGAGGATCAGCAAAGACTAGAAATATGGAGAAAGACATGCACAAGGTGGTCAGTGCATAAAAGAACAGTGGACTCAGGCTCAAGCGCTCAAGACCTGAGTCCACGTGATACAATCTACGCAAACACACCAACCGTAAACGTTCAAACGCTCAAGCTAGCGCTCAAGGACTCTAACCGCTCCACAAAAACATTTTGTTCTTACGAATTCACGTCTCTGGTGTACGTGTGGCTGTGTAGCCGAAGAGCGCTGTCCCTTCAACCCTGCCCCTGAAACCAACCTTCAGGGAACACTCGCTTCACCGTCAATGCCCAAGATCGCTGCGCTTTTTGCAACACTTTGACAATCCGGAAACGTCCTCAATTTACTTGGTTTTACAGCTATTATCATAAAACCTTCCGAATATCCTTACTTATGGCTCATGATTTTCTCTTCCCTCCTCCAAATTATCCAAAGACTTATTCTGAAGAGCTTTATTCCCCTCTGAACACCTTGAATCATGGCTTTTCCAACACAGATTTCTCTCGGACAATGACAAGAAGCAATTTGGTGAGTTTTAGATCGTGTTTCTCACAGAGCGCTCCAATTTATCATACTTCTGCTTTTGATAGTCCCATCGAGCTCCAACAACCTCATCTAATTCATACAACCACACTTCTGGTTCTCAGAATGCCTACCAGGCTGCGGAGGTGATTTTGAAATCTGCCACTCACTTTATGCTGATGGCCGCTCACAATCAAGCCCATAGTGACCTATACAAGGAGTATATGTGTTCGAAATACCAGTTAGAAGCTCAAATGTAAGTTATCTACCACTCACTTTGTGCATATATGCGTTCAAATGCATTCTATTAGGAAACTCGTCACTGAACTAAAGGAGGAGCTGAGGGAAGCTCGAAATTTGACCAAGTGTTCCTGTCACAACGGCTTCGCCAACGATCGAGCGCCTATAACACCATCAATCAAAATTCCTGAAGCGCCGCCACCTGCAAAGTGAGAAGACTACCCTAACGTTCGTTTCTGGAGCAAAACGGAGGGTAACGAATTCGAAACCCAAGCAAAAAATCGCAATGTGACGCTAGATAAGTTGTATTTTCTCTGTGATGAATCAGGGATGGCGATCTCGAAGGCGTGTCGTGACGAGATGACAGAGGTTGCTAAGGTTGCGTTCAATGAGCTTTACTATTGGCGGATTGACCCATTCACGTGGACGAAGCATACGGAAAAAGCTTTTCTCTACATCAGTGCCACATTGCGCGCACGCTTCCCGGAGTTTTCTTGGTGCGAAGGGGAGTGGAAAACACAGGACTTCGCAAAAATTTGATACCCCAACTGGAGTCGTCACTATTGCGATCCAGGAACATTGACTTGTGAGTGTATCCTGTATGCCTTCATGTTGTGATGACCACTCCTTTGATATTAGGTGCAAAACCCTCGGTTGGTAAACGCGGGATAGACGAAAACAGCGCTCTGGCGCCCAAGCCCAAAAAGAGACACGTGAACAAGGCCCCTACATCGGAGGTCATTGAAATTGAAAGCGCTGACCCCCCTCCAACCGGCCGGGTGATTACCATTGCAACAACCTCCTCCCTCCGAGTTGCCTCTACACCACCACCAGCCCCCGATACCCCTGTCATTCTTCCAACTCCATTGCGCCCGTCTGACCCAGACAAGCCTCTTTCTTCTTCCCCGAGCATCACACCAGATAAACAGGCGCCTATCATTGCAATGTCACGTCTGGAGCCCATGGAAATTCCTATCACAACAATACCAACTCCCACCTCAATTGTACCTGAAGGCACTCCCACATCAACTAACCCTGTTGCAACCACAAGTCTCTCGTCAACTACAACTCCAAATCTCTCCACACCGCTTTCACCATCCATTGTCAACCCAATCATTGAAGCCCCTCCACAGGCGAGACGGCTTGTTGATGCCCTCACATTCTAACGTAACTTTTCTACAGGCTGCAATGCCTAGCACTACTGGAAGACTTTCGTCTCAATCTTCAGCAGAAGAGGCTGCTCAGGAAGGAATGGTTACTCATCAAAGCAGGGTGAGCGCGTTCACAATCTCTTTGTTCACTTCTCACCATCCTTCATCACAAAGTTCAATCCTCTGTATGGCACTTCAGATATACCTCACATTAATTTATCATTTATATTCATTAAACTCGCAGCACTGGCCTCAAGGTACCAAAGCCTCCATTCAAAGTCCCCGCGCCGCCAGCCATGACATCCGCTCCCACTGTGGTACAGCCAGTGCCAAAGAAAGGGAAATTGATGGTGCCGTCAAAGACGTCTCTGACAGCACGGCAAGTTGATATCGTCTGTTTGTTGAACAATCCTAACATCCTCTTAGGAACCTCTACGCACTCGATTATGAGAAGGATCATAGTGTTACGAACACTGAATTCAAGGAGATCTGGGATAATCTCGACGCCGAAACCCTCAAAGTAATATTTCTTCTTAATCTCTACCTCATTGCTCAAGAACTTTTAACAGCGATACGAAGCACTGAGCAAGCAAAGAAAGGCGGCGATGAAAGCAACGAGTGCCACGTAAATCATATATGGTGTGTTCGTCTCTGCTGCGATATCCTATATACTTACTGTCCCTGTAGCTCAAACGGACTTAGACGGAATGATAACAAACTTGGCCCTGGGGACAGGAGGTACCACATGCAGAAATCCGCAGAACGACGCAGAAAAATGGTCCAGTAGTATAAAATTGTGTAATTGTTACTGTATCTGCAATAAAGTGTGTATTACTAGAAAACCACAGAAAGACCCAGAACACAGCAGAAAACCGCAGATAATTCTGTAATCATTAGGAATGTCAAATGAAAAGTCTCACAGAATAAGCCAATACTTTCCATTCCTCCACTGATTCCTGAAATTCCGGTAGGATTCCTGGAATTCCGGCCAGAATCAACAGGAATCCAACTGGAATCAACAGAAATTGAACACTAGAACTTCTGGTTAATTAATTTTGGACCCTGAATCTCCTTCTTTAGGTCAGACAAATAGAATTGTAGCACTAAATCTTTGACTAAACAAGGGCATAAGGCATACGACTAGTTACTTACTAATGCATGGACTTATTTATTTCAATCAGATTCAGAGACATTAGATTCTGCATGTTGTTCATCCAAACCCAAGTCTTCATCATCACTTTTAGTCTCCTGAGACTTTGCTTTGTGTTTCTGTTGAGTGAGGACATGTTTTGTGTGATAAAACAACATTACATGTAAAAACCAGTTGAAATTTCCAGGTTTCATGTGTTTGAGAAGCTCAAATCCACCCAGCCATGCATTCAATTGTTCACATATTGTAGTATATTCAGCAGAGCTACATAAATCTATTCTATTACATTCTGAAGTCACCTTATACTGATAGCTTCATATTCTTTCAAAATTCAGAAGTCAAATTTAAATAGAAATCAAATTTTAATGTATTTCAATTATAACATAAAATACATTTTACTACAGTGTATACTAAAGGAAGGGGGAGGCACAGGGAAGGGGGGAGGATGGAAGGGGGAGGAAGAAGATAGGCAAAGAGAGGCACACACAAGGAAGGGGGAAGGGACAGAGAAAGGGAAGGGGGGATGGACAAGGAAGGGGGAGAGAAAAGGGAGGGGGAGAGAAAATGGAGGGGGAGAGAAAAGGGAGGGGGAGAGTAAAGGGAGGGGGAGAGAAAAGGGAGGGGGAGAGAAAAGGGAGGGGGAGAGAAAAGGGAAGGGAGATGGATAAAGATAGGCACAAGGAAGGGGGGATGGAAAGGGAGGGGAGGAGGGAAAGGAGGGACAGGGAAGAGGGTGGGTCGTCGTCGTCTGCTGATGTGCTCGTCGTCTGCTGACGTGGGCGTCATCGTCCGCTGACATGGTCGTCGTCGTCTGTTGATGTGGGCGTCGTCGTCCTCCGCTGATGTGCTCGTCGTCCGTTGACGTGGGTGTCGTCGTCCACTGACGTGGTCGTCATTGTCCGTTGATGTGGGCGTCGTCCGTTGACGTGGTGGCGGTCCGTTGATGTGGTGTGGCGGGTCGTCCATGAGCATGGTCGTGGTGGTCGTGTGTTGGCGTGGTGGTGCGCTGGCGTGCTGTCCGTCCCTCATCGTGGGCGTGGTGTTAGCGAGCTGGGTTGGGACGAGTTTGGGGGGGGGTGCTCACCTAGGACGACGAATGACGAAATCGTCGTTCGTCGTCTGGTTGCCACGTCGCTGATAGCGACGTGGCAACATGTTGCCGCACTCGTTTACTGGGGTTGTTGATGTGGCGTCAAGGTGTCGTCTCCCATATCGTGGCCGTCGTCGTTGTCTCATCGTGGCTGGTGTGCGTGGTGGTGGACGTTGGCGACGTGGTGTGTAGGCGTCGGTGATGGTGGTGGTGGTTGAAAGAGATGGCGTTGTTTGTTGATGATGTCCAAATCAAACGTCGGTGTTTGCCGACGTTTGATTTGGACATCAGGAATTCCGTTCCGGTCTCGTTCCGTGAGCATTCCTTCCGGGTGATCACCGGAATCATTCCGGCGGAATTTGAATTCCATTCAAAATTCCGCGGAATTGTTTGATCAATTTGGCAGGGCCCTCTGCCAAATTTGATTCCTCCGGAATTCCAGGAATTCCCCGGATTCCGCCGGATTCTGGCAGGAATCAGTGGAGGACAATACAGCCGTTTGCATAAGTCATTGAACACTTCGATTTTTTTTGCGTCGTCACGTGCCAACTTTCCCGTAGCCAAACAAATGATTGATCGAGTAGATAACGCGCGCTCTACCATCGCACTCATCATGGCTCCTTCGCTTTCAAAGGATCTACGTGATAGGGTGGTGCAATGGCGCATTCAGAACAACTGGTCATACCGAAAGCTGGCTGACATGGCTGGCTGCTCAATTGGCACAATCGCCAATATTTTGATGTACCACCGCGTTTATGGAACCTCAACAAACCCATACAGAAAGCGTACCGGACGGCCACGATTGCTGGATCACGATGACTGCGCATACATCGATACACTGCTGAACCGGGATCCCACTATCTATCTGGACGAGATTCAGGATAAGCTGGTAGAGGATCGTGATACAGACGTTTCAATTGCTTCCATACAGCGAGCCATTGAACGTCTAGATTTTACACGGAAGGTTGTGAGCAAGGAGGCGAAGGAGAGAAATAATCTTCTCAGAGCAATCTGGGAAGGAGGTATGGCACAGTATGACGACCCAGATCTATTCCTTTTCCTCGATGAAAGCGCTGTCAATAATTTGACCACGCAAAGATTGGCAGGATGGTCTCAGCGTGGAATACCATGTGTACGACGTGCGACAGTTCTGAGGGGAGCTCACTACTCCATCTTACCTGCATTGTCAATCAACGGAATAGAGGCATTGGATATTTTTGAAGGAGCTGTAAATCGGGAAAAGTTTGTGGGTTTTCTTCGAGAGCAAATTGTATGTTCTTAAACTCATATTTGACTGTGCATTAATTATCTTACATTATTAGGCACCAATCCTGAACCCATATCCTGGCAAGCGAAGTGTTGTAGTCATGGATAATTGTGCAATTCATCATGAGGAAGAGATAAGGCATTTGATTGAAGATGAGTGTGGTCCGTATTTCTGTTGAAGACCTGAGAACTATCTGCTGATATAGACCCCAGGTGCTCGTCTAATCTACCTTCCGCCCTACTCTCCAGATTTTAATCCCATCGAAGAAGCATTTTCTGCAATTAAAGCATGGCTTCGACGACACGAAGACGAGTACGACAGCCCAGAGAAATTGCCGTGGTTAATCCACCAAGCAATTGATTCAGTCACAGCTTCTGATGCAATTGGATGGTTTAGGGACTGCGGTTATATTCCAGATGATGGTGACTATATTGCGTGATAAAGGAATGTAGAATAGTACGAAGGAGTGTTGAATAAAAGAATGACTAAAGTATTGCACGGAAACCAAATTTCATAAAAAACCGACCAACATGTCTAGAAGCGATGGCTTGAAGTGCTCAGACGAGCTCGCTTGTGCTCAACTTTGCCGACCCATTCTTTTGCGAACTTCAATAGCGAACATACATCACCTTCGGCAAAATGGGTGACTTCTGCAAGCCGTTGAACTCCAGCAAATGACAAAGTGTCAGCAGTGTAATGTTTCTCAGACAGAGCAGTTACCGCAACCGTAATTTCCTCTGGGGAGATGGAAGGCTTAGCGCGACCAAAAGCCTCAAGGCAAAGACGAAGCTCATCTTCCTGAGCCGGAAGAGGAGACGAGGATTCAGGTGGACCTGCCGGAGATGAGGCTGGGCTGAGATAATGTTTCTTGGGGCGCCGCGGAGTGACAGGAGGGATAGCAACATTATTCTGTAATAAAGAGGAGAAGAAAGCGGACATCATAGTGCCCGCCTCAACAGCTGAGTCACTCCCAGCACGTTGGTGACGAGGGCCGGTACGGCCACGGGGTCTTATGACCCGACTACGAATGGCGTCGTCAGGCCGGAATAGAGTGGGAGGAGGGTCACGCATGCTGACACCGGCCTGAGATCCCGCCTTAAAAAATATCAATATAGTCTTGAGCACAAGTATGAATGGCTGACTTACAATTGCGGCGGCCCAATGCTTCACTTTCCAACGATTGAGAGGAAAATGTTCATCTTCCTTCTTATAACAAGCACCATTGTCGTGTTCATCACATTTCCATTCTTCACGAAGGTCCATGATGATGGCGCCGTGGAGTTGGTCTTCGCCTGAGAAGCTATCGGGACGTGGTACCTTTACAATTTGTATAACATTGAAAGAAGGAATAGAAACACAATAAACGAACTCACATGGGTCCCAAACCGTACCTCAGGACCAGACCAAGGTGCCAGACGAGGATCAAGAGCCACCGCGGAACGAATGCGGAATGGTTCAAGGAGATCAAGGTCAAACCCGACAAGAATAGACTTGACCGTCCGCTTTTCATAGATCTGGGTCATGATGGTTTCGAACTCTTGATCATCCCGGACAGTTGGGGCATTCGTCTTCCCCCCACTGTTATTAAAATCATGAAAATCTCGTGTTGCAAGCATAAAATAAAGGGTAACTCACGGGGAACCTGGCCAAGAGATCTCAACAGGGAATCCAGAGACGTTGGAGGGCTGATAATGTTGATGAAGGTCATGGAGCTTGAGAACCTCTTGAAGAACCGCGCAACGCGTCATACTGAACAAAGGGAGGGCTGGTCCAGTTTTCGTCGCGGAAGTCTTCTTGGGTTGCTTCGCTTTGGATCCTTGAGAAGCAGAAGACTCGCGAAAAGAAAGAATAGCGGTGATAAAGAAGGTGCGCTCAGGAGCTGAGTCACAGACAAGATGAGGTGACGAAGGATAAACAAAAACAGTACGCACGTGTGAAATCAGACAAATCTGGGACAATAGAGATGAGTAAAAATTAAGAAAGACATCAGTGACTTACTGTTGTTCTCCTCGGCAGTGCCAGCGACAGGCAACGCTCCTGGAGCAGCAGCACCAGCTCCGTTGGGGGGAGCACGCGGCGGTGCGGCATGCTGAGGACGTGCAAGCTGAGGGGCCAAGGTCGGAAACATGATGAGCTCTTGAAAGGGTGTACCATCGGGTTCATTGTTGGTGTAACGAGTGTCGCGAGGCATTGTCTGAGATGGAGGATGAAAGGTAAGGAAAAAAGAACCTGAGGAAGCGATTGAACTCAGAGCTCACCTCTTATACTCATTTCTCGAGCTGAACACGTTCCTTCCTATCGGAAATGTGTTTTTCATCTCGGTCACCAGATAAATAAAATATATTGAGCACCTGGACGCAAGGCTTCAGGATGGTGAACGAGGCAGTACAATGCGCGTTGATTTTTCGGCTCAGCTTCGGATTTGATAAGTGAGAGCAAGGTTGACAGGAAATAGAAAATACCTTGTTCGAGGTGAGTGTAGCTCAGGTAGGAGTCTGGGACTCGATTATGGACGAAAGTGAGCGGGCAAAGGGAGAGGAGTGCAGTAGAGCGCGCATTATCTCAACGTTATCTACTCGATCAATCATTTGTTTGGCTACGGGAAAGTTGGCACGTGACGACGCAAAAAAAATCGAAGTGTTCAATGACTTATGCAAACGGCTGTAAAGACCTCTGTTATAGCACCAACTCTGTCCAAAAAATGATGTGACATTACTTTTGATCGGTTAGTGTACGTGTATTTTTTTGGATAAACCAACTTGTTTTTTCAATCACGTATACCCCTCCCCAACCACAACTGCTACTTGTATGCACATACTTAATTTTCTATACTGGATGGATGGAGGATTGGTGTATCATATGCTTATTTTTTTTAGTATGACATTCCTTGCAAGTTACCTTCATTGCAGCCTGGTCGTGCTTCGGTGCGGGTCGCAAATCTTACCATTCCTTATCACTCTACTACTAATTGTAATACTTATTCCATATCATTATTTCCAGGGGGCAGAGCTCAGTTGGGAGAGCAGCACTGTGAGGTATGTACATAAGAAGCTTGTATATATTATGAAGGTGTCCTACCTTTGATCTGCATGCATCCATGGCCACATTTTCATTTTTTTGTTCGTTCTTTCATTAATTTTATGATCTCAGAAATTTTCTTTGTCTTCTTCTATTCTACATGTTATTTATGAGAAAATAAGGGGGGCATAGCTCTGTTGAAAGGAAAGCTTTTCTGCTAAATGTCCCCCATTATGGTAACAGTTGGGTAACAGTTTATTTATTTCTTCCTCACACAGAACAACACAATTTGGATACCATTTTTGTTTCTGAAGTTTGTATCATACATGTTGTTAATTCTCGATGGGCCTTTGTCTGGTTCATTGTAAGAATACTTTATTATATCTTGGAACAAGTGTCCTTGGTTTCCTGCTCTAGGGGGCAAAAAAAGGGACAGAACTGAACTTATACACTCAGAGCCAGAAACTTCAGCCTAGCCCTCAGTGCCTCAGCCTCCTCATGTTTTTCTTGTTGTGAATATGTTCTTGCAAGATTTTCCAGGCTGGTCAAGGTAAGTGGATGTTCTGGCCCCAGGATCCTTTTACACAGATCCAGAACCTTTAGCCCCAGCTTCTCAGTGTCTTCATATTTTCCTTGTTGTGAATATGTGACTGCAAGATTTGCCATGCTGGTCAATGTATCTGGATGTTCTGGCCCCAAAACCCTTGTACACAGATCCAGAACTTTCAAGTCCAGCTCCTCAGCCTCTTCATATTTTCCTTGGTGTGAATATGTGACTGCAAGATTTGCCATGTTGGTCAATGTATCTGGATGTTCTGGCCCCAAAACCCTTGTACACAGATTCAAGACTTTCGACTTCAGGTCCCCAGCCTCCTCATGTTTTCCTTGGCATGAATATGTGACTGCAAGATTTGCCATGCTGGTCAATGTTGCTGGATGTTCTGGCCCCAAAACCCTTGTACACAGATCCAAGACTTTCAAATTCAGGTCCCCAGCCTCCTCATATTTTCCTTGGTGTGAATATGTGACTGCAAGATTTGCCATGCTGGTCAATGTTGATGGATGTTCTGGCCCCAAAACCCTTGTACACAGATCCAAGACTTTCAAATTCAGGTCCCCAGCCTCCTCATATTTTCCTTGGTGTGAATATGTGACTGCAAGATTATTCATGCTGGTCAATGTATCAGGATGTTCTGGCCCCAACAGCCTTGTACGCAGATCCACGACTTTCAGCTGCAGCTTCCCAGCCTCCTCATATTTTCCTTGGTGTAAATATGTGATTGCAAGATTATTCATGCTGGCCAATGTATCTGGATGTTCTTGCCCGAGCACATTTTTACTCAGATCCAGAACCTTTAGCTCCAGCTCCCCAGCCTCTTCATATCTTCCTGGGTCCAAATATGTTTGTGCAAGATTTCCCATGCTGGTCAATGTATTTGGATGCTTCATCCCCTGCTCCTTCATCCTCATTTCTAGTATTTGATACTGAAAATCCTCTGCATCTTTCCACATTCCATTTTCACAGAATACATAACTGAATTGGGAATATTCATTATCATCAAACACTCTTTTGAAGCCATTTTCCCTCTCTGACTCGTAATTGGCTTTGATGTGTGGTACAAGTAGCCTGTTGAATGCAATGTTCTCAGTTGTCATCTCTTTTGTAATACAGTTTACAAGAATCAATTTTGACACTTGCATCATGCACCTTTTTTGAGACATTGTCATCCTATCTCTACTCCATTGATGCATCAGTGGATGAATGGCATAGGTTCCTGAAGAGGTTGAGCCCCGTTTGATCAAAGAAAATGACATAAGAACTCTAATTCCTTCATGAAAGAAGAATTCATTCCAACACTGATCTGCTTCCAGTTGAAGCAATTGGCTGATGCAAGTTTTGATGTTTTGATCCAGTTTACTGTAATCTCCTTTAGAGAATTCCATAGCAGCCTTTCTAAAAGCAGCCTCAATGATATTCTCATGATGTAGAAATGCAGCTGTCTCAAGAATAAGGATAGCAGCTTGAGCAGCTGCTCTACCATGCTCATTAGATTTATTGTTTGCCCTTGATTCAATTTCATTAAAAGACAAATCCCATGTTTCATAGACTGTATGATTGTACTGAGATGCCCCCCTAAATGAAGAGTGGTTCATAAGCTTGTTCCTGTGTCGAGAGAGATGCTCAAGATAATTTTCAATCCTACAGAGACCAGCTTCAATGGAAGCTCCTGCTTGATCAACAGCCAGAGGCAAACAGCAGAGCTCATTTACAATCTGCTGAGCTATGCTGTAAACATTTTCTGGCAGCTCAGTTAGATCGCTGGCTTTCACTAAGAGTGATATGGCTTCCTTTTCGGCCATCTGATCAACTTCCAGAGAGTTTTCATAAGATGTGACACGTCCAAGAGATCGATTTCTGCTAGTAACCAGAATATTACCCTGAGAACCAGATGGAATAACTTTCTCTACAACTTCAGGTGCACCATCAGCATTGTCAAAAACAAGCAGCCATTTACTCTGCAAAGATGCAATCCAGATGAGAGCAGACCTGGAGGACACAGAGATACCAGCAGCTTTAGCCTCAGGATGAGCACAAAGACCCTTTAAACCAAGATCAATAGTATCTTCAGAAGATGCATCAATCCAGAAAATGTGGGAGAATCTGCATTCACTTGTCATAGAATCAGAGATATTAAATTGAAGAAACTTACCTTTCAGCCATCTCCTCAACAAACTTCAAACAAATCTGTGTCTTTCCAATACCTCCCATGCCATATAACAAGAACGATTTTCTGCCTCTATCCCCTTCACCTTGACATGCAAGGTGATCCTTCAGCCTCTGAAGAATAAACTCGCGACCTGTAAATAGAGCACTTGAATTTGGCCTTTGGGGAACAAGGAATGTATCATCTTGACCCCTGCTGGCATGTTCATGAACATTGATCTTCACAAAAAGTGCAATCAATATTTCAAACCATCAATGCTGGGGTAACCAGACACACATTGTGAGCCACATAGAGTGTGGAATCCTTCATATCAATGTTGGCTCCTTGCATGATATTCTAGAATTTCCGAAGACAAAATGAGCTGATGAATTTGTTTGCATTGTAAACACACCAAAGAGGTACTACGCTCTCCCGTAGCTTCAGACGCCCTTGTAATCATCGACCTAGATTCCGTCAGGATGCTATCTGTATGTATGGGGTTCAGCGCCACGAACCTCGAACCGCTAGGGCGTTGATCATGTGAGCGATCTGCGCCCATGAAACGATCAAGCAATCCCTTGAACTTTCCTTTCAAACGATTTTCGCGGGGGCGATTGAGATCAGACATCGTGGTTCAGAAGAGAGAGTCGATGCTGTGCGGCGTCAATTTTCTGAATAGGTAACGGAACCGCTTCACGGGGTCAGCTGATGTTCGAGGCCTGGATTCAAGAACAGCGCTCCGAAATCCACGCGCAGTAACGTGGTTGGGCGCCAAGTCAGCAAGCAGACGCCGGAACAAGCGCGGTCAACGGACATGTGTGAAAAATAAAACGCCAACACTGACGAAGAGAACAGGTTGCGGCATTTTATTTCACATATGTAAGACAACATCAAATCCAGCTGGAGACGATACTACAACATTAAATATATAGAATTGCAAAAGACGAGCGGATGTACCTGACCCAGCATCCCAAACCTGGCGTTTTTAACGACCACAGTCGGTTCCTTCACCACCATCTTAAGTAGGACGTCGCCTCACTTCTTGTCCTTTTAATTCCACTTGTGTCACTGACCCTCGAATTGCCTCGCATCCCGGCTTTCCATAAACAAGTATTGTTGTCACTGATCCGCACGAGCGTTGGCTGTACTTTATGCCTGTAGGAGGATAGTGATGACGCTAAATAGGGAAGCGTAGCCATGCAACAGGCAACGAACGATGGGAACGCAAGGCTGATCTTGATTCCTCGTTGCAAGGGCCTCGCCACGTCACAGGTCCTACAGAAAAACAAATCGATTAGCTTATTGTTAAAAGAGAACAATTACGTCGTACCAAGAGCAAGAAATACTCTCGTGGTAACGTTCCACGACCCGGGGTAGAACTCCGATCCTAAGCGTTCCAGTTTTTGGGTTGTTCCGAGATTGGCCGTGGGCCTGATAGCACATTGAAAATTGCATTATCACCGGCTTGTTGTCGTTAGGGTGAGCCGTTGGTGGAACTGCGGAGTGCTGAGATATAAGCGGGCAGACCAAAGGAGAGCGTCGTCACAGAGCACAGGGCAGCCGATCGTGCAGACGTGAGTTGGTGCGGGCGAGTGAACCACCCTCTGGTGATTGTGCTTTACAAAAGAAAGGCGTTACTTGAACCATGGATGCTCACCAGTTAAATAGCAACACGTTCACCGTTGCACGACCAACCTCTCCTGTGCGCCGTGAAGACCTACGGTCCATCGTTCGTCGTCCTGAGCGCGTAATGGGCATTACGCAGAAATTTGATGAAAGAGAGCGCGTACCGTACACTTCGTATACGTAGTCCCTCTCTGTTTGTCGTCCATCTCTCATCTCCCTTGTGGGGTGGTTGATTGCGGCGACAGGGTTTGCAGATCTTCTGCGAACCAGGAGTACGGCGGTGAAACATTCGCGGGACACGACGAAACCGATATGGCCTCACTGACGTAGAGACAAGGGATGTAAGCGAGCGAACAACTAGCCGAATGAATACGGATGAATACGTACTGCTGCTACAGACCCATCCCGGATCGTATATCCCTGGTCTTAGAAGCTTGTGCGTGAAGCGTGTCCTGTCAATTCCGGTGTTAGCTTGACCCCTAATAAGCAATTGCAAATGACAGATTGGGCTCTCACCTGAGTGATTGTCGAGCAGTAGAGCTGGACAGATTGAGTCCCAATGTCATCGAGTGTAGATTGCAGGCGGGCGAACGGTGGAAGTTGGCGGAGATGATGGACGTCGATCAAAATCGTGTTGACCAACGTTTGTTTTCTTTCCACCACCATCAACGACGTGCTCAAGGACTTGCACTATCGACGCGTCGCATCAGCTCATCAACCGAGCAAGGCCATGAAGTAAGTATCTTGTTTTTATAATTATAACGATCACGTCTAACCTACAGTGATCGCCGTTTTAGCACTGGGGATTCGGAGTCGACAACTGCATCAGGCCTCCAAGATACGGTTGATACGTTCAAGACATTGAAAATTGAAAAGTGCCCCCAGCAGCGAGGTGTGTATCGCCATCATTGTCTCTCACAACGTAAACTAAACCTTGTTACTCAGACCTTCAATGCACGAATACATCACAACGGCTATTGGATATCCTTTGCGACGTTTTACCCTTGTTATCGACCAAGGCCGGAGCTTACAGCCTTACCTCGCATACACGACCTCATTCCACGTTCTTCTTGGGATGCGGATGTTTCTCTGAGGTATGCCCTGCTTCACCTGCTATTCAATGGATCAATCTGACCCCAATTTCCGCAAAGCACTGCACAACGACAACACGTCCTTTGAGGACGGTGAAGCTACGCCCTTGCGGGTGATCAGACCCTTCCCATGTACCGACACGACCTAAATCGCATTGGGCTCATGCATGCCCTGCCTTCGTCTCGTGTCGTCCTCTGATATCTACACACCAATCGACGTCACGCCTCGCCATAAGGAGAAGAATGGCCAGAGTCATACGACCCCGCCATCAACCCCATCCCACTGCGCCCGTCGACGAGAAAGGTCTCATAGTGGATTCTTCGGATAACGAGCGGGCGGAGACGCCTTCTTTGCATTTGAATCCTGGAAGAGGGAGAAGAAGGGGAGGGAAACGGAAGTCCAAGATGGGTGCGAGTGGTAAACATCGGAGGATAACGTTGTTCGGGTTCGGCCTCTTCGGACGACAACCCATCTAACTCCCAGACGACGATGCTGACGCTGACGTTGCGCCCCTATTCCGTCGTCACAGCAGCGGCACGCCCACAACAACGCTAGCCACCCAAACCTTCGACTCCGACGCCGCTCCATTAGACATATCCACCATCCACGAAATCTCCGTCTCCAAAGCTTGTGAAGCAGCCGAGGCGGAGGCGAAGCCTCTCAAGGAAAAGGAGGAGAGGAGGCAAAGAAGGAAGGCGAGGGAGGAGATGAAGAGCCTGGTGTGGTTGGCGATAGGGAGGAATTTGAAGGGTTTCAGGGGAGTGGTGGGTTGGCGCTACTGAAGCGTCCTAGTGCTGGGGCTGGTGGGGGGACGACGGCGAGGTCTTCGTCGGGGTCCCATTCTCGTTCGCAATCCCACTCCCAATCCCAGCAATCGAACGAAGGCTTCGGGCACTTCGCATCCGCCCCTCCTCCAATAGCAGCAGAGCAAGACGACGAAGACGCCGATCTCGACGGAGGTGTCTGCCCGCGCAAAAGTCAAACAGCCGCACTCACTCGAACTCGAATGGATGAACATCAAATTCACGTCTTAATCGGTCCTCTTTCAATCTGAGCTGGACCTCTGCGTCTGCGTCTGACAGTGCTCAACAACACATCTCACAATCCACCCTTCCTGTCATTGGGAAACTGTCACCATGTGCACCGATCCGTCCACCAGCCTCTCGAACAAGCAGCTCATCCTCCAAGTCGAGGAACCCCTGGCCCTGCTCGACGGTGCTTGGACTAACGATCTCAGGCTCGCTGACGCTGAACGCGGGTGATGAGGTGATGCGAGGGAGGGTGATTGTGAGGATGTGTTTGATCTTGATCTGGACTGGGAGGTTGAGGAGCGTTTGGACTTGGGGTTTGGGAGATGTTGGGGAAGTAGGTACCCCTTCAAACGTTCACTGCTCTTCTGTCACACCCCATTCCCCATTCCGTCCAGCTCTTCTTTTCAACTGATATCCTCGTCGTTACTTTATGAAAAGTATTGCCTATGTCTATATATGTACTGCTATATATGATCACCCCCTTCAACAGAACTGCTTCTTGTTGTTCGGGCTGTTATGGCCCTCCTCCACTCGCCCTCTCTGAAATGTACATGGTGGTGTTGTCCCTCTGCGCACTGTATGTTTTGCTGCCCGTCGCCGCTAAAAGTTGGTTAGTCTGACGGGAACGATCTGCTCTACAAGTACCTCTCACCTCCAGCAGACGTTGGACGGCGTCCCCGAAGTACGACCTGGATGCTTTGGAGGACAGGCCCGACTGCCATGTCATCAAACCTATGAAACGCAACCCGTTAGCTCGTCATCGAGAAAGGAGGCAAAGCAAAAGAGGACGTACGTCGACGTCTCGTTACGCAAATAGCATTTTTGATTTTCGAAGGGTAGGAAGAGGGCATCGTGTTCACAGGGAGAGTGAAGGTTTCGAGGTTGAATAGACGGTTCGAGAGGTTTGCAAGATCATGTAAAAGTTGAATATGTCGGATTTTGTTGTTGAAGTGAACGATTGGCGACACTGTGTCGGACTATAATGTATGTTGAACGTGAAACATGTGTTACGTGATAGGACAGCGTCAACGCAGAGCATGAACTGGCTGGAGTTTCAATGGGCTGATGAACCGCCCTCGGCGTCGGTTCTGGAAGTACAGGTGTCTTACAAGACGTTGTTTACGTCGTCGTGGTAAAATGCGTGAGTTGATGTATTCCATGCAAGGTGAACTGTAGGATGCAAGATCAGGAGCTCCGAAGAAAGTTGACGATAGAGGAGACATACCTTGAAAGCCAAAACGTGGCCACCAGAACCGCGTCTCCGTTTTCTTTGATCCCAAGTCACTTGAAAGATGTTGACGCATAGAAAGGGGTTGCACAAGTATGGGCTTCTGACGGTTCAAGGCAAGGTCTTCGAGACCCATGAAAACCGACAACGTTTGACTAACCACACAACAGAAGGTTATCAGCAAAACGACGTTGAATGAACCCAAGGGACACGTACTGCATCAATGGTTCCCGATGCCATAAACCATTACGCCCCGGAATGAAAGCTCAGACCTCAGTTTCCTTTCAACCCCTTATCCCCCGTAAGAGGTTGCACATTCACACCAAGTTTCGAGCGCAGGCTAAGCAGATTTGAGTGCCTGGAAAGAGGGATAGTACGCAAAGGGAGATTGAGCTTGTAAAGGAGGAGCACGAATGGTGGCTAGATTATAGGCGTAGAGTTGGCGGAATCGATGGTGGTTGAGAACGCAGTTGCTTCGAATTAGTTCGTTTGTGCAATCGTGCGTTTCTAGATGATGGTGGTCCTCTGCAAGCAGAATATGTTGCCCCTCGTCCCCGCTGAGAGGTTCCACACCATAGAGAATAGCCCCCGCGTCGGCGTTGGTTCATCACATACAAAACGGTGGGCTCGCTTGTGTAAACTTGAGGCCTGCATTGAGCCTGCAAAACAATAGTGTAATTAGCTCGTCACCAAAAGCCAGAGGTGTTGGAGTCATACCCAAACCAACAGGACGTACGCGACGTCTCCCAGCGGTCTAAGTGTTGGAGGTGGGTCAAGGCGAGTAAATGCACCGTAGAGAGCCGAGTGCGTCAGATGTTGAACGTGTCTTCGTCGATCTAGCGCCTGACCAAAAGAAACCAGAGCGACAACATAGCTCAGACTTGGTACTGGGTTTTGTAAACAGCCCTTTAGAAATAAAGATGCTCAGCATGGATTGATCGGTCAAATAATTGAAGTTCGTACCTGCGATAGAACGCTGGCCTTGATCCTGTTCCTGCACAACTACCCTCTTCTCTGCACCTCATCAAAATCTCATTTCTGCCGCAAGTCGTCCTCAGCACATCGTCGTAGAGACCGGAGCCTATCCCTGGCGTGCGTGAATCGAGTCCGAGGGGATGGTGCAGTACTAATATACGCATTGTCAAAACTAGAACTTAGAAAGGGATAGAGTATGGACGTACCGTACAAATCCGTGACGCAATCTTTTGGACTCGTCCCCCAGTCCTCGCGTTGACGGGAAGTGTACATGCTACTTGAGCTTGAGATCGCATCACAAAGGGAGACATCATGGACTCTGTAAGAGCCTTGTGCGGCACTGTATGAATTGTCAACAAGAAGAGGGCTGGATGGAGTTGAGAGAGACACGTACTCGATTGCCCTGAATGGACACAGACACGGTTGAACGGACCGAAAGGGCGAGGGGAAGTGTCTGAGTGCGGTTTTCATCCTCGGCCAAAGTGCTGGTGGCTAGAATCTAAAGCAACCTTGTGTTTGTCATCGGACGGCGTTGGTTAAGGGGTGTCCGACGAGATAATGTGGCTGTGTTTTTTCGGGAAGACCAGAATCCATCACTCAACAACGGACTTGTCATTGTCGACGACGCGCTCTAAAAAAGTATCTACATGGCCTCCAATATTCACCGTAAGCACTCTCGATAAACCACTGATTGATTCTAACCAAACCTCTCCAGGTCATCGGCACACCTTTGGCAGTGGCCATTCGCCTCATTATGCTTCGGCAACGTCGCGCAGGGATTCACTCAGCTCTCAACTTGAGTGCACCTCGCGAATATCCAGGAACATTGCAAGCTCCACGGCGCCGTGATTCCCCCAATCAACAACACCACCACGTCTGACAAGTAAGCGAGTCAGAGTTCTCCTCGCCTGGCGTTGGTGAACTCATCAAGCCGATTTCAGCTCCTCCTTGATGAAGTTCAAGGCTGTCGATATTGCTACATGTTTAGCGGCCGTTGAGGCCGTAACAATTACGTTGAGTGGCACAAGAAAGAGTTTTGTCCGAAAAAATTATTTTCAAGCATCTACCGACCAGCCGCGACCGACGAAGAACACCGTAATGCTCATGAAGTTGCGCCGTTCGAGGCGGACGTGAGTTGGACGTGCGTGGAGGTTGAGAAGAGGGTTTACGATGAGGGTGAGTTTCCGTTGTGGGCTCGGATTGCTATGCGGGAGGCTGAGGCGGGTGGAAAGAGATAGACGGCAGAGGGAAATGAAGTAGAGGTTCATAGGCTTGCGTTGACTATCAGTGTTATGGCCTCTTTCTAATGCGAGATCGTGTGCAGGAACCATTTTCAAATCTATTTGCGGGACTTCGACCCTTGCTCGTCTCCATTTTCCGCAGTGATTTGGTTCCTTGCCTCCTTTTGGCTGCTTGAGAAGGATTATCAGAGCAGCCGACGAACTGTGAGTTTTTTTTCGTTTCGCAGTTTGCGCGTTACTCAACCAAGGCCCAAGTGCGATATACGGCGAATGCCTCTCCGCCCTCATGGTTTTGTATCCTCTATTTCGAATTCCTGTGCTTTTCTTTTCCAGTTCGTTCCTACGACCGCCATTACAGGGCATTGTGGAAAACACGAAAGTACAGGTGAAGGCCGAACCAGTATCGGCTGATCATTATCTCTTTTACATCGTGAGTTTCCATCCTCTCACATTCACGAACTAATTCCCAGAGACATGAACCTCAAGAAAATGAGCACTGTCGTAACGTCCGCCGTCTCCTTTCGGAGTGATTTCGACTCGCACGTAGTGGCACAGGGAGTCGAAATCTTCTCCGGATTTCATCCATTTCCGTTGACTCTCAATGATTTTGCGATTTGAGATGCACCTGTGCACCTGACGGATTGTCATAGCAAGTAAGACGGCGACGCGCTGCGTGGCTGCCAGTGGTTGTTCGCCCCCAGAAGATCTTTTCACTTATGATGCTTCATTCACATGACGGGTTAACCGAGATCACAGAAAGAGGTGATTAAGGTGAAGATGTCGGAGGAATCAAGAAAGTAAGCAGGATGTACTATCCCCTTCCTGCCTCGAGCGGCAAAGTTCAGCTGGGTACATAGGCAGGATTCAAGCTTGAATGTTCAATGTCAACGCTTTGTGGGACTTCTAATAGCTGTAGACGTCTAATAAATATTTTGTGAATGTGTTCGTCCGAGTTCTGCATGTGCGACTGTGTTGAATATTTCTTTGGGGGTTCATAGTATGCGGGATAAAATACAGCTGGTACATCCGAGCGCCCAGACGTCAGATTTAAGACCGATTTTACCCCTGTGAGAGCTTCCGGCGGTTGAATGTTTTTAAGTGCATTGAGGGTTATGGCCATTGTCTGGTGGGCTAACGACGAGAAAGTAGCGATAAAGTGGTGAAACCAGTAGAAAAGATAGGCCTTACCGTGCGCGAAATTGGCAAGATTGAATATTGTATGGGCAACATCGTCCGCTTTGGATTTCCATGTATGATGGTTCGGAATCGGCTGGCCCTGGCGAGTACAAGCCTGATGCTTTTGAGGAGAGGCCTGATGATCCTGTGAAACACCGACCAATTAGCCCGTCGTCGAAAGCTGGAGGAGTTAATAGGGCCGAACCTACAATGTCTACCCGCACTGTCAGTATTTGAGGGGATGGAGGGAATTCAATGGGCTTTGAAGAGCTTGAACGTGTCGGACCTTGTCGAAGTTAGAGGGAAAGATCAGCGAACCTCCGTCGGGCTGACATTTGTGAATGATGTGTTCGTTGATCTAGGGCTTGAGAAATTGCAACCAGGGATAAAGGATGGACAGGCTGGTGCCTGAGTTTCTATGGGCTAGTAAGCCAACCTCGGCGTCGGTTCTGTACGTGTCTTAGCAGGAGATGATTGCTGGAAGAATTGACGTTCGTACCTGGGGTACAGCACCCTTAAAAGCTTAACCCTCCACCTGCACGGCTACCCTCTTCTCCACCAAACATTCCTTCCTTCATTAGACATGGCAGACACATCATCAGTGGAATCTGAGATGCGTGATTCGATTCCAAGGGACAACACTAACTACAAGGGCATTGTCAGGGAACTGGTGCTCATCGGAGGGGGAATCAATGACAATGAAGACATACCTTAACCTTTGATACGGAGTGTAACAATACACCCGTAAAAATGCGAATTTTAGCGATTTCTCCTATAAAACCTCCTATAGTAGAAATACAGTCACATTGATCATAAGGATCGTTAGACGCAACCCGGTCTAGTCGATTAAAGTTTACATCCGAGAAATGTGCACGCCTTAGACAGTAGGAATTGTGGTCGGTTCGTGACCGAATCACCTCAATATACTCGAAGTCTAATAAAAGGCTACACTACCATGAAATAGTACGCTACCGAGTGTTCTAGAGTAAAAACACCCCCGCACAGGGTGTTGGAGTTTACACCAAACCAGGGTCTCACTTTATTATGGATTAAAAGATATTAATTCTAAAGATAAACGCGCGAGCATAGAAACTCGACGCGTACCTGACGCGAGAAGTCATTCGGTCACGTGCTACGAAGCATGATCCAAGAAGTCATGTGGAGAGACGCATCACGCGCATCACGCGCATCAACACATCACAAATCATGGCATCATTGACCCAAGAAAACTAAGCTTCGTGAAATATTCCGNAAGTCTGCCAAAAGAGAAAAACTATGAACGATTTGCCGTGCGGTCCGAGGCCCGGGCATAGTATCTAATAATAGAGAGAAATCACTAAGCGGACCGTTCGTCTCGGCTGAACCGATCGTGAAAACCGTTTACGGCGATTCCCGTGTACGCATCAAGACTGATGCGTCGCGTCGCCACAATAGAGAAAACACTACGAAAACTTAAAAGAAGCCAGCTCAGTTGTGCCACGCACAATCGAGCCACTTCAAACCTTTACTAAAAATTCAGTATTAATTCGTCCGACCTCTCGGACAACGCACGGACATATAAATATAAATAGAAGACATAGAATAGTATAAAAAGAGGACGCGCGCAGGCTGAAACGCAAGGAATTATCCCCCGCGTTGACCAGCTGTCGCACTCCCAGTAGCATCTGAGGTAGTGGATAAGTTTGTAATCAATTTAAGGACTTTTCTTCGCAGACATAAGTAACGTGTGCCCGGAACCAGTGTGTTAAGTGGGGATCACAAAGCTTTTGTAAGGTTGTCTCGTCAATTAGTAAGAGAGCTCTCTACTATTACCGAGGAATCCAAGTGAGCGTGCTTGAGGAGTCTTTAAGACTAGTTTGGACCGCATCAGAGGCATAATAAAACTCAAGGGAGTTATAAAAGTCTACAAAGCACAATTTCCTTGTCATTTCTTTGTATACAGTTAGAGCGCAATCCCAGAACACCGAGACAGTCCCAATAAAAGCCATTTCCCTTCGAAGACTACTAAAGTTTCGAATTCTACACTGTGTCCGCACGTAAAACAATACCTTTTGTTCCGAAAAGGTCTACTAGACTTGGACAAGTGATATAAAATATACAAAAAAACGTTTCCCCGAACTTCTACTTAAGTTCTAACAAAACAAGTGTGGTAATTCTGTTTACCGTACGAACCCGAACTCGAAGTACCGAGCACGTACCTGTGGTGATAAGTGTTTAAGGTGTTTGTGTGTGTGTGTTGTTTAGGTGTTCACGCATCTTGTCAGCGCGTCCGATTACACTATTCTCACTCCCGCGTGCCACGGTCTTCTCATCTGGAGCCCACCGCGAGGGTTTTCATTTGTTTTGTTTTTCAATTGTACTTGAAAAAGTTGTTTGAAAGCGGTTTTCGAATTATTTAAACATCTGTTTGAATCAACCAAAGACCATAAAAAACCAAGCCTAGTTTCTAATACCAAGAACTAGCATCAAAAGTCGTTTACAACGGCAGCCATAAAAATCAGAGAAACAGCCACATCTAAAAGAGCTAGAGAAGGTCCACAAGTACCCTTACCTCCTACACAGGAACCCAAACGCGCTGCTGAGCCAGTCGTACAACGTTACCCGTTAAGGGGATCCTTTAGAGTCTACCTGCAGCATGCAGCNTGCATGCCGTCTC